ACCCCGACACGCGGAGCGACGGATGAAGGCGCATCAGCCCTCGTTTGTTATTGGTGCAGAAAAGTTTATGAGGGGCTTCCCTTCCCGGCGGGTGCTTTATACGACGACGCGCGTCGCGCTGGGGCGCGCTGGAGGGGTTGAGATGCACCAGCACCTCCGGGGGTCGAGGGGGCGTCCTGTCCCCATCCCCCAGACCCGTGCCAATGCCAATTGCTCTCTCCCTCTCTCTCACTACCCCCGTGCGCGCCGTGCTCTGTTCTGCTGGCTGCAGCGCTGCAGGTCTTTCAATCTGCAACATGTCGTTCGTCCTCTCTGCCAATCCGCTCCGTCTCTTGTCCCCGCTCCATACCCCCCCCCCCCCCTCCACACACACACACACACACACACGTACTCCCAGCTTTTCCCCTGAAAAACACATCAACATATTTGAAATGACCGCTCTTCCCGTTCGCTGGCTCTCCTCTTGACAACTCGAAACGTATCGTCAAGAGCGCTACAACTTTCCGCGGTTCCTTTTCCTTCACTTTGAAGTATACTATACGTGTGAAAGGTCCGGACAACATATCAAAAGATAGCAGAGACTTTTTTGACTGCTTTGGCAAAGAGTCCTTCGCCTGGTCACAAAACGAACTTTGCTGAAGTTGAAGTTCAGCTTCTAGCCTCTGCGAGCTTTCACGCACGGCGCCTGATGGGTAGGCAACATCGCGCCTGCAGTGCGTGCGTGTACTGCGGGGTGGCCTACCCTGCGTCTCGTATGCACCTAGCTTTCACCGCAATTTTCCGAATGAATCCCAGAGGAGAAACGGACGTACTTTACGGACGACCCCCCAAGCAGGCGACATCCAATCCCGTATAGCAAACCGGGGAAGGGATGGAGGAATGGGGTAACCAGAATGGGGGTTTGAGCAGCACCAATCATTGTGGCGGTAATTGAAAGCATTTGCGATATATTTACATCAAGCAGACACCACAGCCGCAGAGGCCGCACTGGCAAACAGAGGAGTAACTATTTTCGCCCCGAGTTGTTTGGCGTCGTTCTCTACCTCCCGCCCCACCCTCTTTTCCGACCATGAAAGGGAACGGGGGTGGGGTGGGTTATCGCATTTGTGAGGGGATGGGACTTGTTCGTCTAATTCTCATGTGGAGAGGAGTGTTGGAGTAATTTTGATTTAGTCTCTCTTGTGCCGTCTTTTCTGCGACGCGGTAGGGAGGAGAGGGGGGGGGGTGTAAGGGGAGAGGAGGGGGGGATGCGCTTACACGTCTAGGAATAGGGACCTCTTGCGTGGTCCAATAAAGCATTCCGGTTAAGCTGACACTGGTAAAACAAAGGTGCGAATCCCTACCTTTAAAAGGCGCTAACAAAGTTTAATGCCTTCCCAAAGGCACTAAAGTTTAGTGCCTTTGAAAGGCACTAAATGTGACCTTTCACACCTTTAGCTGGCTAGCTTCATATGAGTTCCATACAAGTTTAGTGCCGTTGGAAAGGCACGAAACTTCAGTGCCCCAGGAAAGGCACTAAACTGCGCCCTTGACTTCAGTGCCCCGGGAAAGGTGTTGTTTAGTGCCTTTGTTTTACCAGTGAAATGCAGAAGAATGCGGGGAAGAAGAAAACGGAAATCGCTATGCTTCAA